ATCAAAATATGGCAAGAAACTGTAGCATCAAGAAAAAAAATAGAACAAATAAATAATACTACAAGTACTGAAGAAATCTATATTTCAGGTCCTCCTTTTTACAAATCAAACCAAAAAAATCAAACTATTATACAAGAAATTTCGATTAACCTTAATGATGAACAAAAAAATATCTTTTTTTTGGTTTGTAATCATCGTGAACAAAACTATCCTGGCAACCCAACAGACCACCACAACTATTAGTGTATTTGGGTGACGCTGGAGGTACAGGCAAGTCAGAAGTCATTAAGGCTATTAAACAGTATTTTGAACAAATTGGCAAAGATCAAACCTTTGTACTTTGCGCACCAACTGGCATTGCTGCATCAAATATTGGTGGTTACACTCTCTATTCTTTATGTGGATTTGGTTTTGAAGACGATAATGGATGTAAATATAATTTTTTACAAAAAATATCAAAAAAAGCTCTTCAAGAACATTGGTTAAACATTGAATACCTTATCCTAGACAAAGTTTCTATGGTGGGACAAAAACCATTAATATGATTACATGCATGTGTTAAAGAAGCGAAATGCTTCCAAGATGATACCATACCCTTTGCTGGTTTAAACATAATTTTTGTCAGAGACTTTCTTCAGCTACCACCAGTACTTGATTATCCTTTATACAGACAAAATAATATTAACAAAACAATACACAAAGAAAATCAAAAACGTACTACAGAATCTATAAATACACGCAAATTAATTGGTGCTAATGGAAGAGAACTGTGGATATCAGTGAAACACATAGTAACCTTGAAGAAACAAATGCGCCAAGTTGATGACTCGGCATATGCAGCCATATTAAATAACTTACGCCATGGCTATCTAACACCGATTCAATGTGAAACACTATATGATCGTATAATAACAGAAAATGAAATTAATTCCCCAGAATGGGATAATGCTGTATACCTAGTTCGAAGAAATGATTTACGAATTCAGATAAATTTTGAGGCTGCAATTGAGCATGCAAAAACTCATAATTAACCAATTTATTATATATGCGCAGAAGACAAATACAAAAACAAACCAGTTGACAGCAGCATTCGACAAAGATTCCTGAGTTTATCAGATACAAAATCAAACCCCTTATGCGGTATATTACTATTATCAATAGGCATGAAAGTAGCACTAACAGTTAATATCTGTACCAATGATGGCATAGTAAATGGTGCCCAAGGTGTGCTCCGCAATATTGTGTATGATAATGAAATGCTAATAAAAGAAGACTTGAACATTAACAATAAAGAAATCGTAATCTTAAATAAACCTCCTAAATACGTAATAGTAGAACTCTTAGATCGCAAACCGGATTTATATGAACAACTTCCACCAAATCATATACCAATTTACCCCATTAAATGAAAATGCAAATATATATGCAAAACAAAAGATGGAACAAAAATAATCCAAGAATTTCAGAAAATACAATTACCTATCACTCTGGCCTTTGCAATTACGGAATTCAAATGTCAAGGTACTACATTAAAAAAGGTAATAGTTGACCTAGACGGAGGAAAAATAGGAGCAGGTGTATATGTAATGTTATCTCGAGTACAAAAGTTAAAAGATATCATGATATTACGATCGTTTAATCAATCTAAATTGAATGTGACAATAGATCCTGATCTAGAAAGGGAACTTGAACGCTTAAAGAAATGCTCAAAAACAACTGAATATCAGCATTACATATAATAAAAACTATGAAAAAAATGTTATAATTTACAATAAAGCATGCTAAAAATTGCACAAAAAATGAAATACATAATACTACTCTATTAATGTAATCCAATAATTTATATCTAAATAACAATGATTAATAAACCAAACATATGCTTGTAACCAAATTAACTCATACTCTTAATACGCAAAATTGAAATACAATACATTTTAATAAATGTTCACAAATAATACACAAAACATTAATAGCGCAAATTCAAAAATTTAAACCTTATAAATTTATACAACTTTGAAAACCTCAAAAATGCTCTCTCATGAAATATGATATAAAAAAAAAACATTAACTATTGTTCATTTTTTGCTCTGACCCCTTTTTCTACTCACATTAATAGCATTCCCACCAGATCCATCACCTTTCTCTGAACAATTTTTCTTCACATTTTCATTAATAACACATCCGGCTGATTTATTACCTTCATCAACATACACCTTATTGTCCTTAACTAAGCATTCATCCTCAATATAATCTGAACTCACATATTTGGGATCTTCATCCTCAATCTTAGTACGTTTAAATGAACAAAAACCAAAAACAGTTGATCGATTAACAGAAGTAGACGGATCAATTGTAGTTTGATTTATCTCCGTGCATTTACTATTATTTTCAATAGAAGTTTTGGAAAATTTTCTGCAAACATTTTGATGAGCAGATAAAAGTCTTGATCGAACTGACTTGTATAATCCTGAAGTGGATTGTAAATTTGAACTGGAACCTTTATTTTTATCCACGAAATAAGCATTAACAAAAGAGGTCTCAACAGCATACACGTATAAATCTCCCTGAATAACCTCCATCTGCCCTATAACAAAAAGTACTGAAACATCTGATCTAATAGAATTCGTCAAATGTTTAAACCGATTATTACGATATGGAAATACAACCTTAACGATAAAGCTATCGTTCTGACCAACATAATCCTTCACAGACACTTTAATAATCACATTTTCATCATCATCTTCTTGTGCTGCATCTTGAATAGCACCAACTTATGAAACTTTTAGTGGATACCTGTTTGAACCAGGGTCTTTTCTAATTGTAAGATGCATAGACGACGCAACAGTTATCTGAACCAATAAAAAATTAAACCAAATGTTATTAACAATAACATATTACACAAAAAAAATAAAAAATAAAAAAAAATACTGATAACTTTTAATTTTAAATTCCCATTGTAATTTCTAATAGCAACCTTCCCACTAACACTAAAATACTCATTTTTAACAAAAACAGATTGCGTATTAGGATCCCTATCATGATCATCTATAGAGACAAACAAGACTATCTCAATTTTACGATCTTCACTCTCAACAGGATAAACACCAATCGCCCATACATGTGTTAAATTAGATTCCTCTTTAACAGACTGATGAACTTGATTAATCTTTACGATCGTATCGATATAGCATGACATCGTGCAAGTTACAGATTAAAAAAAACTTAAAATTTTTTACAACAGACAGCATTTTATAATATAAAAAACAACAAAGCATTACATCACAATGACTACAATTTAGAATAAATAAATAAATATATATATAATACATCACGATTTAATAAAAATAAATAACAGCCACCAACATAAAATAACTTTGACAAATTAATTACCAATTAATATCATCATTATTGACACATCAATTTAATAATACAACAATTATGACAAATAACTCAAGTTCCAAAAATGACCACAAAAAAAAAGTTGAAAAAAAACTAAACCTAAAACCGCATATAAACATGTGCATATAAGATTGAGGTGTATCCTATTGGTCAATTTACAAACATCATATAATAAATTTTAATAATAAAGTTTTTTATAGATCATCGAGTGATAGTAAAAAATATAATAAATTCAAACCGCAATAACACTTGAAGCAGCGTGCCCACACGAATAAAACTATACTTATCAGGTTTGTTTTAACATACTCTTTAAAGCAAAAACGCTCTTTTTTTTGGTTTTTTATAAATTATTCAATATTTTTTTATCTTAACAAATAAAAATCGAAACCATTTGTTGTGTTACACAGTATGCAATGATTCACAGGTAAATCTCAATATTATGTTTTTTGATGTTTTTATTAAAAAATACATCAAAAACAAGAACTTTGCATAGAAACTGAGAGTTTTCCACTGCACTCTAGACAATAAAATTAAGAAAAAAAAAAGCTCTATTACTTTAAAGAACATGTTAAAACAAACTTGACAAATGTAATTTTATTTATGTGAGATTTTCTGGTTGAAGGATTATTGCAGTTTGAATTTTATATGTTTTTTAAAAAAAAATTTATTAGAATTTACTATATAATGTCCACTATGTTACATCCAAATATAAGATCGTACTGGTCCTGCGCAGGGTAACATGCTGCGCAGCTACCCTAGTTTGTTATTTAGAAGTAGTTCTTATATGCTACTTGCTAACAAATTCAGAGTTTATCATTTACTAACAAAAAATTTAATAGTTCACTTTGGCTCTATATATTTTACTAATTTCAAAATATATATATTTTTTTTTTTAAAAAAAATATAAAGACTATTTTCTACACTATTATCTACTTGCTTTTTCTACAAAATTTTTATAAAAAGTGAGCAAAACAGCTTACACTTGTTAAAAGATCAGCATTGTTTTCTTTTACAAATTTGAATAGCCTAGTAATTGCAACTACATATTTTGTTTACTAACAAATACAGTACTACTTTATAGGTTTAGACTCTAGTTAAAGAAATATCTAAAAATAGTTATATAATCTAAAAGAAATTTATATGCTAAAATAAAGCTTTACAGTAGAGATATACAAATATTGTATTTGTTATATATTTTTTTAAGCCTTGTATAGGCTACAATAGTTTTTTCTGAGGTTTATACTTTTTTTTAATTAGGTTAAAGCAGTTAAAATAGCTTTTTTTTTCCATTTCTTCTTTTTTTTTTACTTTTTTTTTTGTTATTATATTTAATTTTTTTTATTTTTTATTTTTTCACTTTATACTTCTCTAACAAATAATTATAGTTTATTTATATATCCCTTTCTTTGTTTAGCTTTATAAAAAGAAGAAATTTAAAAAAAAAATACTTAGGCTTTTTAATTATTTAGATAAATTAGTATAACAGGTTGCACTTAGATATTTTTAAAATATTTGAGTAATATTAAACATATTAAATTAGATTGATGTATTAAATTTTAATTTTTTGCTATATATTTAATAAAGTACTAGTGAGGCTACTTAAATATTAAAATAAAAATATATTATAACTGTAAAAAGTTTTATTAATAGCACATTATCAATTTTTATATAAATTTTATTGTATTACCAAAATTATATGACAAAATGCTATATATTCTCTATTTTTAATAATTTATTAAAGTTATAATATAATACAATTTATAATATAATAAATAAATAAAACAACAATAAAAAAAAATTTGTATTGTTATTTGTTATTCTAAATCGTTTATGCTTATTAAATAGATTAGCAAAACTATATTTATAAATAAGTAAAGAATAAAAACAAAATTGAAAATTCAAATAAAACTTATAATAATACTATTTAATAGATAAAAAATAAAAGTTTATTAAAGTAAAAAAAATAATATTTAGGAAGATTTTTTCTCAAAAAAAATAAAACCTGTATAATATTTAAAGTACTAACTATTTAAATTTTTAGGCTATTGGTTTATACTTAATAATAAACAAATCTCTCAAATCAAACTTATTTAAGAAGTTATCAATTTAGCTAAAATTGCTAGTACCAAAATAATTACTAACAAACAAATTATCTATATTATTAATATTGTGATTATCCCAACTATAAAATACTATATCTACAATATTGTAATCCTTTTCTTCATATATAATCAAATTTTTGGCAAATATCTTACTTAGTAATTGGACTAGACAGGTACCACCCAGGTTACTTGTAGATGAATGAGTAATCTGGGTAGAGTTTTGACTACCTGGTGGAAGTGGGTAGGTCATTCAATAGGTAACTCATAAACAAGAATTATAACTTTAAGTATATTAATTATTTTTTTTTCTTAAAAAAAAACTTTTAAAATAGATTTTTATTAGACTAGACACTTATTCAATAAATCAGAAGTAAAATTTTAAATACTTTTATATTGATAAAATTTCTAACTAATCTAAATAAAATTACTATTTTATTTTTATAGCTGTTTTTATAAATTCTAAAACAACAAAAAAAATTGATGTTATCAAGTCAGTTAGAAATTTTTTTAATTGTTCTAAAAATTATAAAAATAGCTATACTATTTCTATCTAGATAACTCATAAATCCCTAACAGGTTGCTTTTTTAATCCATCTGGGTTCTACTTGGGTGGCTCATAAGTCTACTCACTTGTGACTAGTATTTCTATGAACCTGAACTTTGGTCAGGTTCAGGTTCAGGTAGGGTTTCTATCAAATCAAATCAAATCAAACTTTAGACCAAGTTTGAATTTTATTTGATTTTCAAATCAAACCCAAACTCAAACACTTCTCAAAAAATATGTTTGAGTTTGATTTGAAAGCAAACTTTTTAATTAAGTTTGATTTGATTTGAAGTTTGATTTGAAAGTTTGCAAACATGTTTGAATAGTTTGAGTTTGATAAAATTATGAAAGGAATTTGTTTATTTAAAATTTTATTTATAAATTAATATATAATACTAACTAATATATAGTAATTAATTATTACAAACTTGAGCATGTTATATAAAATGTACATGATATCGCATGATATAATTTTTTAATTTTGCATTTTCCTTTTCAGAAAATATTAGATATTTTTTATTTTCTTTTTAAGATTTTTCAGACCAGTTGTGTTTCCAATTCTTAATTCCACCTAGTATTCTGCAATCTGGCCTAAATTTATATACTTTAATTTTCTTATATATAAATGAGATAAAATGCATATGAATGCGCATGTTTAAAGAATCATGCACATGCATAAAACCCATCTCTAAAATCTATATTAGATAATATAATAATTGCAGAAAAAATTTGCATTCAGGTATATTTGATGGTTCTGAACCTTATAATGCAACAAAAATATAATACCAATATACAAAACTTCATGAAACTTAGATATAGTACTGTAAGGATAGTAAAGTCCAGTCCTAGTCCAGTCTTGATCTTATAACCCGTAGGTTTTAATGCATAAATTTATGGACCAATTCTATAAAAACCAGATTTAGGACTTTAGATAACTTAGGTTTAGTCCAAGACTTAGTCCAAACTATAGATGCCACCAAATTTGATTTTCAAAAAAGGTTTATTTTGTCTCCATTAGAGCAAATTAAAATTTTTTATAAGAAAGAGCAAATAAAATTTATATATTTATACTCCTTAT